TAAATGGCACAATTCATTGAGTTCAGTAATACAATAATTATTATATAACACTTTTTATTTGTTTTTAGGCATACAATGTTCATATCAATGGTGCTTTTCATGCTGCTGTGAGGTTTTCAGACTTGTATAATTTCAATGATCAAGTAAGTGACAGTCTAAATCAAAATTGGCTAAAGTGTCACCTTAAGTTCATGATACAATTATAAAGAGATATGACCTACTCACTGAGTCTCTCTGGTTGAGAGTGACGTTCTCAGCTGGTTTCTCTGTTKTGCATGTGTTTGGTAACCAAGCAACYAACTTCTAACATCATAATAGCCTTTCATTGATTAATTTTAAAATGTCAAACAAAAATACATGACTGTACAATTGCATGCAATGATAATACTGGAGAATAATAGCAGCAAAACATTTGAAAAGTGGTCCAACTGTACAAAATTCCTGATATTGCACCATGATTCTTTTTGAAGATCTTAACATTAAAGGTGACAAATACAACATGTAATGTTATTGCTTATGTTACTATACATGACTTTGTTATTCCATGTTTGGGTTTTTTATAGTTAAAGAAGAACTTTGGTGGTAGAATTTCAACCCCCTTTCCTCCAAGAAAGATTTTGTCTCTTACTCCAGTACAAATTGAAGAAAGAAGAGAACAGTTAGAGAAGTACTTGCAAGATGTCTGTCAAGATGTTGATATTGCATACAGTGAGATCTTTTCAAGCTTTCTTAGAAATTCTCAAAAGGTACATGTGCAGGCTACCTGTGTTATATAGGCTTCTAGCATCTTTGCATGGCTTTGCTAGTGAATTATGCATACATGCAACACAAATAAACTCATGCCAGGAACAAATTAGTCCTTTATTTGAGGTTGACAAACATTACTTACAACTTATGATATTACACTTTGTAACATTTCTAGCAAAAATACAGATGACTTCAAGAGCTTTTTTTTGAAGTATTTAGTTGCAACAAGTTTATCATTACAAAACATTTTTAACATTTAATTTTCATGTTAATGGGCCTACTCGTTACAGATTTTTAAAATTTCATATGACTTTGATGCCATAAATATTAGAAGCTATTGACAGCAACAGAAAAACCTAAAAATTATTATAATGACTATTGAGGTGTGTTAGTATGCCACATACTGTAAGGAGACACATGAAGAGCCTCATCTTGGTTTAAGTATAATAGTAAGCGATTGCGGCCGAATACTGCTGTATGATGGTTCAAGTTTAATTATTATTAGTCAAGCTTTCGCTGTTCTACGGCATCATCAGGACTGAATATGTAGATTAGAATCTCGCATAAAAATATGTATATAATACAATAGGTCTATTGTGCAAGAAGTATAGTTAGAATAAAAGATCACAAAGTTCTTTGTATTCATCTCTGGAATTGATTGTTGGTGTACGCGCTTTGATGTATAAGGTTAAGTAATTTCAATATGATTATTTGTGTTTTAAGGAATATTGCAATGCTTTGACTGAGACAGTTTCTTTGGATATATTTCTAATGAATGGACAAAAGATCTCACTAAAGGTTGTTTCTACTGACAGCACAGATGATGTACTTGAGGTAAATCTCATTAGTGGTTGTTTTATATACTGCTTTGTATTTCCAGCAAAAATGAGAACAAAGGGTTGGCTGGGATAGCTGTGTATATATTATTGCTGGAAAGAGACACACAAGTTTATTGGGGCTAGGAAAATCCATCATTCTTTGATTATTTCTGAGTTGCAATTCAAAAGATTAGACTGCAATAGGCAAATTACATCAAACTCACACTATTTCCGCTCCAGATTGAAACAGCTAGTTTTACATGTCATTATTTGATGCCATGTCCTTTTGCAATTTTTAAATTGTTTCATCATTGTAATGAAATTGAAGAAATTACCAAAGTGAGTGAATAAAAACCAAAAAGTTACAGATGCCAAATGCCTTGTACATGTACATGCAAGAGAAAGCTTTTGCCATAGGAAGGGGTGTCGAAAGGTAAAATCCAAGCATCACCATGCCTGCAAGTCCCTCATTTTAAAAGCCTGAGCCTTTAGCTGAACGATTCCAATATTTCGGCAATTGTTGGCTTTCCAGCCAAAAGCATTGTAAATCTGAGCCCCTTTCTTTTAAGCTCCGAGCTTACTAGCCTTGGGAAATTTTTGTCGAGCCTCGTGATTTCTGAGACACCATAATGATTCTATATCCCTATAGGAGATAAAGAGTGTTTTGTTTATCAACTCAATACTCTTTAAGATAAATAGTTTATTAGCAGTTAAAACTTGCTGTAAGACTGCAAAATCAATTGCTTGAAGTGTTTTTTTATGTATTTCTGTAGGCTGCCATGTCAGAAATTAATTTGAGTGATGATTTGGTGCACTACTTTGCATTGTTTTTAATAAAAAGAGAAGAAGATGGTGGAGCTTCAAGTAAGTCCATCTCACCATACCCTAATGTAATTATGATAATTAGAGTATGCATGAGAATTGATTGGCCGCTTTTCAGAAATGGTCACATTTTTAGCATTAAACATATGTTACATGATTGTTTTTCACTGTGGTTGTACACATGTAGTTGTGAGAAAGCTTCAAGACTATGAATCACCATATCTGAGTATGCAGGAACTTCAGGGGACTTATAGAATTGCAGTTCGCAAAAGGTAACCTACTATAATAATGATCACAGTGCTTATTCAGGGTTCATACATGTATGAGTCCATGAAAACCTAGAATTAAGTTATGGAATTTCCTAATTTAAATTTTCAAGCCCTGGAAAGTTATGGAATGTTGTCTAAGGACATGGAAAGTCATTACAACAAACCTTTCTTGTTTGTTAGTCTACTATTTCTTTAAATCARTGTTGCTGTAGAAATAATGTATGATGACTAATCAATTGCATGACTGTTTGCTTGCAAGCATTAAGCAACACTGATAGGGGGAGGGGGGGTTAACAAGTAAGAGATTTGTTTGTGCAATATATGAGAAATGTGAAAATGTTCTAACAATTTTGGCAATGATTGTAGACTGTATTATCTTTTCATGTTAATGATATTTTTGAAATAGAACATTTTCTGTCACAAGCACTTTAATGAATGTTTTTCATAATTGTAAATCCAGAATGAGAGTTCTTGTGGCACAACTTTAAAAACAAAACCCTAGGAATTATCATCCTACATCTAAGGGTGTTAAATATTATTTATTATTATCATTTCAGCTTTTGGGATTCTAAGATAGAAGACAAAATTCTAGAGGATAAGATTGGAATGAACTTATTATATGTTCAGGTGAGATTTTCATTGAGTTCTTTTTTAAAGCTTAAAGTAACAAAAACAATATTGTATACTATTATACAGAGTTCTTTTTTATAATAGGCTGTAAGTGACATTGAAAAAGGCTGGGTTGTTGGTCCCAAAGAGGCCTACTCAAGACTAGCTGAGCTAAAACAGAGTGGGTCAAAAAAGGAGGTAATTTACATTTATCAGTTATGGCCATACAATGTCCAGAAATGGAATTACCGGGTTAAATTAAGTAAGAAAACTTTCAGCAGTAGTTTCAAGGGTGAAGAATAATGTTATAGAATGAGGATGTACTTCAAAAATGGTAGAAAACCATATTTATTCATGTATAAAGAGTCACATATTTTTCGACACACACACACAAAAAACACTCACAAATTGGGGAAGCAGCTTGTATCTGTGGTGGGATGATAGCTCTTTGTTAAAAGTCCAAGAACACTGGACATAATATGTAAATTGTAAACTGCATGTTGATCCCTACACAATTTTGTCAACTGTTGGTCATGTTTGGAAGCCAAATGTTTCATTGATCATAAGAAGCTTGTAAATGGATAAATTTTAATATGTCCACACACATCCTCACATACTTATGCACATGCAAGTGGAATGTAAGACAGACCATCTGGCCAAGCATCTGCCCTTAACTAAGCAATAGGTAAACATGGTTTGTAATATAAACTGGCTATCTGTAAATTTTTGAATCTAAAATTGGTTTGAGTTTGTATTTTTGCCATCCATTATGTTTCCTAAATGAATTGTTTGAGTATTTTTAAGAACAAAACAACAGCCTTCAATTTTGACATGTTTCGGCGATCAATCGCCTTCCTCAGATACTCTAATGATACTGTATAATGTGTATGATTGTTTGAGTGTACATGTTGATTACATTGGTGATAAATAATCTGTGATATCATGGCTTTAGTCTTGTATTTATTGTGATATCCTGTATCTGTTTCAGTATCTAAGACTTGCAAGAATGATGAAATACTATGGTTTTATACAATTCAAGCCTTGCATCACAAATTACCCAGAAGACAATACAAGAGTACTTGTGAGTTGTGGTGAAAGAGAGCTTAACTTCAGACTTCAAACATCAGATGTAAGCCAAATAAACATCAACTGTCAATGCTGATTGTTGATCTCTTTGTAATTCTTATTTGAAACATTATTTTACTTCTTGATATACAGTAGTTTAAACATGAAGTTTATAGATTTACACAGTTGATAAGCCATTTATTCCGACATGTACAATGTACAATGTCACATACATACCCAAGAAGAAAGCGGGAAAGAAAAAGCTGCAGTCTTAATATCACGCCTAGAAGCAGTGATCTGCAAGGTTTATATCTCTCTTGTGCTTGCCATGCATGACTTTCTGTAAAGTGGGCTACAAGAGATGATACCACTTCATGTCAATTCTGATTGTTTTACCTCAAGTTATCTTTTTATATTTGGTCAGACATCAATTTATTGTTTGTACTTATTGTTTAGCATAAAGTACAAGAGGGCAGCTTTAAAGTAACACGAATGAGATGCTGGAGAATAACATCATCGGTAATTGCTTATAGATAATAATAACAGTTTGATAATTTACAGATACCAAATATTGTTAAATCAACTAAATGAWATCGTGCCAGAATCATGCATCATTTTTGCCATTTAAAGGAATTAAGATTATTGCTCTGTATGATGTTTTTTGGTGTTGACTTGACTTTCTTTTGATGTCAACTTTTTTATCTATTTTATTTGAAGAGCAAGGTACTTTTATCACTTMATTTTTATTTTTTCCTTAAGACTATTTCAGATGAAGATAATAAGAAAACAGATGAAAATATGGAGCTTGCTTTTGAATATTTGTTAGGCAAAGACAACTTACATTGGATCACAGTGTACAGTGATCAGGTACTGCACACATTTCATTAGAGCGGATTTCGTATGAGTGGGACACCGTTACCGCACAGTTACCGCACAGTTACCGGACCTAGCCTGCAAAATTTTGGTGAACCAATGGGGCACTAGAATTTGGTTACAGTACGATTACGGTCACAGTACAGTACTGTCCGTTTCCCACTCATACGAAATCCGCTCTATTTTTATAAAACATGCTTACAAAAGGCAGATCCAGGGGGTGATTAGGGTGTCTAGCCACTCCTTTTTATATGCATCAATAAGTAAAATTGCTTGCTTTACACACCAGGCAATTTCTTGTCTTGAGAACAATACCATTTTGTTCAATAGATTTTTTGCATGCTGAACCCAAAAAAAATCAGTTGCTGACCATTGATATTTCACTATGGTAMTTCATGCACAAATCAAGTTCCATTTTTTGGAAAAATATTTATAAAATATAAAGCAGGGGAGTTTTGCAATTTTCGTGAAAAACCTGAGATTTTAACTGTGAGACTTCTGGATTATGTGAGAGAGTTAACAGCCATGAATATTATTGGTCTTTTCACCTCTATGATATGGTAGAGTATCCATGTATTTGGGGGTACTCCATATATTTGCTATACGGGGACGTGCCGCTGGCCAGGGTATGTTTTTTTGCCTTGCTGTATTAAACAGGGTATATATCTCATCTTAAACAGGCTGTACAATTTAGATAAAAGACAGATATAATTTATTTTGCGTGTCTTGGACAGGGTAATATTTTCATTAAGAAATACCGTAGAAATAGTAGAAATACCATTTCACTGTACTAGGATTAACGTGTTATCAAAAACGTCTTATTGTCTTTGATGGATGTCAGTATAATTGCAGTTTCGATGGTTGCAGCGTAGATAGCGATTCCTTATTTTTCCGATTTGTCTTGAACAGGGTATGGATTTTCAATTTCTAGTGTCTTAAACAGGGTAAGGGTTTTAGACTGCTCACGCCACATACTTATCCAAAACAGGGTCGAGTAYCCCCTGGGGCAGGGTGATTGATTACTGATAAATTTGGAAGAAAGCTTTGAAAATCTTACATATTCATGTACTATCAAACATTTTCTGTGCTTATAGGCAATACTGATAAGCATGTGCTTACAGAGTATTGTTGATGAAATCTTGAGACTTAAACAAGGCAAGCCAATTAAGAGTGTCAAGGTAAATTTTATCATTGTCCTACATGTATATTAAATACATTTTAAAATCACAACAAATAAAAAGGGGGGAGTTTATGGTAAGAAGGATATTGCATGAGTGCTTTCTTTGTTTATCCAGAAAAAGAGCACAAAGAAAAGAAATGATAGATATGAAAGGTGTAACTCTATATCTTCAACTGCTTCCAACGAGGTGTGAAATTATATAGTTAATATAATTTTTAGTGAAAAGTAATGCTATCCTTCATAAATTTTGAAAGTGCTGTGGTCTTCTGTGTTTCTGTTTAAAGTGCTGAAGGCTTTAGGAAGATGTGGAAGCTTTCAGAATACTTACTAAAGAATATTGTTTTACACTTACTAGTGATGTCAGGGATCACAATTGCATGTACGTTGCTGTAAAGTTGCCCCCCCAATCACTGTTTTCATTGATTGTTTTGATTTTAAAGTATCAGACTTAATGCACCATATGTCGTGTAAAATGGTTCTGGTTCAGTGATAATGTCCATTAGTAACTAAATAGTAACTAATAGTAACATAGTAACTAAATAAAAACTGTTTGTTATGTTTTATTTCATAGCTTTTAAAAATGTGTTGGCTCTTTCATATTTATTTGTTAGGGTGAAGAAAACAAATCACCTAATTCAAATGCAGAATCAACTGAAAACAAGACTTCAAGTCCTTCTCCTTCAGTAACAACAAAGAAAAAATCACAGAAACCAGCTGCTCAGGTAAATGAAAGTCAATTTGTTTATAAGTCAGTAAGGTRGACTATTATAAAATGTGAAAAAAAATAAATTGGAAATTGACTAAGTCAGTTATGATAACTTATATTGATGTGAATGCATACATGCATCAGTAGTTTCCCTCTTAGCACAAATTAGGGTTTTGAGTTTGTTAGAGAGAAATTTGCATTAAAAAGACAAGAACTATAGGGGATTGATTGACTTCACATATTACTCACATAATAAAATGCTCATAAGGATCTGTCTTCTGTAAATCTAAACAGCATATGTTGCTGCATAATTCTAGAAGTAAAATAGCATCTTCCAACACAAGTCCTTTAAAATTTTCAACAATTTTCACACTAGTCCCCCTTTGACTGATAAATTGGCTTTGGATTGAATCATAACTCCATTGTAACCTTTTCATATTTCATGTTTTCATATTGTTTTTTTTTTCTTCTTCTTCTTCTTCTTCTTCTTCTTGTACAGAACTATTTACCAGTACCACAAAATCAAGTACCAACATCTAAAAACACCAAAACAAATGAAGTTTTTGAGGGGATAGGAGATGATGATCTGTAGCTCAACACCATTATGGTAACCTGTCCATGCACATTACTAACTGGGAATTAGCACAGAAAAGGGATGCAAAAACTTAGTTACACTGCTTTAAACACATAAAGCTCAAAAGAACATTTATACTAGAAATATTTTTCTCCTAAATCAAGATTATCAAAAGAGTTCCTCAATAATAATTATTGAAATTCAGATCATTCCAAATTACGATAATGTAAGATGTTTTTGATGGACATGAATTTTCAAAAGAAGGAGCTTAGCTTTGCATTTTCAATTGTTGAGATGTACAAGATGTATGTCTTTATGTTTCTTTAGAGATCAATGCAACTGCTACACAAATTCTTTTTACAAATTTACCATAAATYGGCTTACAGTATTCACCTCCATACTGTAGATTTACTACCAAGAAATTTTATAATAGATTTTTTATATGTATGTTATCRCATGTGTCATTGCATTTAGCATGGAACTATTGAATACCCTGCACTCAAAATACTCTATGCTTATCTTTGGACCAGAGGTTCCTGAACCGCACTTGGCAGAAAAAGTCTCTTAAATAAGGCTTAATTGGCAAAAGTATCAGGGTAACACATTTTCAGATAGTCCAATATTTTCTTTAGTGTGGATCCAAAGTAATAGCCATGCAATTTTGCAGTGAATAGCTTTCTTCACAGGTTCACTCTTGAAATCACAAAAGTGTAAATGAAAACATGGTGCATGCACCTGTTCGATGCATTTGATGCTTGTTTTTTTTTGGGACATAATATGTTAGAATACAGGAAGCCCAGATTATAATTTTGGTGCATGGATATTATCTATTTAAAAACAAGTTTTGAAATATGTAAAGAAACAAGTAGCCAATTTTGATTGGAGCAGATTAAGGTTTTTTTCCTGGTGCAGTGTATTCGATGATTACTCTACATTTACATGTAGTTCAAAACAATGTTGCATGTGATAATAATATTAGCTAGCATTGTCAGCCTTGACATTTTGTTCACACAGAACCATTAAAAAATATATCATTCCATGTTTAGCCATAAATATCTGTGCATTAAAATCATTACAAAGACACAGAACCAGGAGGAAATAGTTTTCAACTTGGCATTGAAAGGCTAATCTGTCACTTTCCTTTTGGGTCTAAGTGAACAAAAAATATGTACATTGTGAGTAATGACTGTAGTTTTCTATACTTTTACTAGCCTGTGTACATCCGTTTCTCACCCCTCAAAAAATCGGGGAGAGAACATCGTTGTCTCCCCGATTTTTTGAGGGGTGAGAAACGGATGTACACAGGCTATACTTTTACATGACTTGTATATCTAGCTGCTATTGTGCAATTTTTAGATTACTGTAATTATTCACATAACATATAATTAAAATAAATATTCAATATCATAGTACATACTAGARTGATTTTCATAAGCCTACAAAACTTACATTTTAAGCATAATAAAGAATGTGCGTTTCTGTTTGCTGTTTTCTTATTTTATTTAGACTTTTACAAGATTTGTACATTGATCTATTGCTTAATGTCACAGTATGTTTATCAATGCAGTGGGAATTAAGACCTACCAGTATTCCATCTCAAAATAGAATTTTAAATGTATCAAATTTTGTATCATGTATCAGTGAGATAACTCACGTACATTTTCTTTAACCAGTCACTGTGTGACCCTCTGGTGACCATAACTCCTCAGCATATAAACCATGTTTTGCTGTGACGTAAATATGCAATAGGGCAATTTATCTTTTCTACAAACAACATCTTGGTGAAGCGGGATACACAGTAAAAAGTATGGTRTTTCTGATGTTAGTCCCTTGTTTGTCTAAGTAAAAGCAAGAAAGCAAATGAACATCATAAAATTGTTGATTAGGATAGAACAGATTAGATATAAAGATTTAGAGATTTTTGATAGATGCCTAAATATAGTTATATGTGAACACAGAATGGATAATAAATTCGTAACACAATTTCATAAAAAAAAGCAATTGAACGATTACATTCCAGTGTTATTTAYGTTTTAGAATGATTGCACTTAATCCGTGCAACTRTACAAACTAAATAGTTCTATTTAGTTGTATTTAGTAAATYGWGCATGCGGTACGCAAATTAAATTGAATTGATACAAATGAAGCATTCAGTACCATCTTGCTTCAGGTCAACTTTTAGTACAAATTAGTACTACTTAGATTTTGTACAGTTGCACGGATTAAGTGCGATCACTCTACGTTCCCTACATGTAATATATAYCAATACAATCTTTGGCCATAAATACTTCACAATGTGATCTCATGCATCTACTTTAAACGTAACATTCGCCCATCCCTCTACTCCCTCCTGCATCAATGATGCAAGCAAGAAAAGTCTGGAAAGAAATCCACACAACACTCAGTAATGGGGAGAAGGGGTACAAGGAAGATTTTATCAACGAACATTGAAGAGAACCAGGCTACAAAATCAAACCTGTGAAAAAAAAAACATGTTGACAATTTTTACATGCGCACAACATTTCTCACACTGAATGTGTGGGGAAATTGCAGCTGTTCTTTACGTTTCGAAAAGTGTACACACAACACTTTGCACAGTTATGCAAGCAATAGAAAACAAGATTTAGCTTAGTTTATTTAGAATATAATTTTTTTCTGTATTCCAATTGAGATTTTTATATTGAGATTAAATAATATTGCTATCTTCACCGTTGTCTTAAAAGATCACRATATGGTGACTTTATTGGAAATAACTTCTGTATCCAATTTTATATTGTTTTGATTTCATCTGTTGAATTATTTGACAGTGAAATGWAATAAGTCTGTTAGCAACACAGATTGGTGACTACATGGCAAATTTACTCTGGAAATGGTGCTGCAAGAAGGTATTCCAGACATACAATCCAATATGACTCAAAATCATGGTTTCATGTTTTCAATCTCAACAATGTAAATAACATTACTAAGCTTACAAGAACATAAAAACATGCRACCACAGGATAAATCCCCTTGCTAAGAATTGTTCTGGACCTACATCAAAACACTTGTTTATCAAAGAGAGGAACTTTGACGTCTMTAGAAATTATTTTAATTTTTCTGATAACAGCATGCATGAAAAGCGTGTACAAGGTTGCTCATGCATTTTATCTTAGATTACATACTTTTTTGCAAAACAACACTTAATAACAACAGGTAACATCAATTGATGTCAAAATATTAAAGAAAAGATCCTTTCATGGAAACAAAGCAAATCCAGAATTTTGAAAAAAACATTATAAAATCCTAATATAGTCTGTTTTTATAATTCTTCCTTTGTTTTCTCTGGTTCATCCAAATCAACATCAGACAAGTCAATATCTTCTTCCTGAGGAACCTCACCATCTTTTCCATCCCAAGCGTCAATCTTTGCAAGTTCAGGTAAAGAGTCAGATCTTAAAGGAGTTGTTGAGCCACGACCTACAGAAACGGTTCTCAAGAACTCATCAATCCCAGAACGATCAAAGGAGCCTCTCAGGGTAGCAAACTTCTTTTTGCGTGAGTTTACGGCTACCAGAGCTGGGTATCCAAATCCACCAACTTCAAATGCTTCTTCAAGCTTTGGCTGAGCACCAGCTTCTGACCAGAGCCAACCCCATCTTGTCTTTTTGTATTTCTCACCAAGTTCTTTGAGCACAGACAAGTACTTGTTTCGTCCTTCAGCACCAGAATCTAAAATGTGAGGCAAGAATGAAACAACACATAGTGGCTTATCATTGCAGTTTTCAGTYAAGATCTTGCTTTCAATGGCTTGTTGGATTTCTGGTGGTTCAATGGAGTCAGCAGCCCTGTCTAGGGCATATTGTACAATATCTGAAGCCGTACGACCTCCTTGGTAATCCTCTACACTTCTAGAATCCTTTACACCAGCAGCAAACACTTTAATAGTAGGATAACCCTGAACTTGRTAACGGCTTCCAAGAACAGTGTGAACTGTGGCATCAACAGCTCCAAGCTTGACCTTCCCTTCTAATTCTTTAGCAGCTTTGGCCCATTCAGGTGCTAGTCTYTGACAATGGCCACACCATGGAGCAAAGAATTCAACAAGCCACAGATCTTTGCTTTCCAGTACAAGTTTTTCAAAGTTTGAGTCAGTTAACTCAATGACTGCATCCTTGCCTCCACTACCACCACTCTGTAAAACAACAAAGTCACATTATCCTAAAAATATTCAATGCCACTAAGAAACACCTTTCTATATGTACAATACAGTTGCTTTCATGAACCTCAATGGAAATTTGAGGAAGATTTAAATTGGAATCATAAAAAGTGACCAGGATGATTGTTATGTACTGAACTTATTTTGTTTCATGTATTTCTTCCTTCTGATCAACTTTAATTAACATTGAGTCTGATCTTTTCAAAAATATTGTCTTGTGATATTACATTAAATCAATACCTTTTTGCCACCRCCAGAGCTACGTCCTCCTCCAGATAGTCGGCCTGATACTACATCTCTGGCTGCTCTCATAGCCTCATCAACAATTCCTTGTGCAGAACGAGGTCCTTGAAATAATGAATACAAAAAGGAGTCTATGAGCCCTGAGTTTACAAAATTCTTGAGCTAACAGTGAAAAAGGAGTCTATGAGCCCTGAGTTTACAAAATTCTTGAGCTAACAGTGGCCACAATGAAATAAAAAGTTTTAATTTTTGATCATAAATCTTTGCTATATATTCTGAGTTGGCAATAAGTTTAATGATCTCTGTATTTTTCCCAGGATTGTAGAAGATTTTACTTTCATTGATTTTCATCTACATGTACATCTACATAGTTCCAGCACTTGGCACCTATGTAGATGTAGATGAAAATGAAATACCAATAAAAGTAAAATCGTCTACAATCCTGGGAAAAATACAGAGATCATGAAACTTATTGCCAACTCAAGGAATAATATAGGAGCAGAACTAACAATATCATCTTAAAATTTCTTACCATTATAATCTTTAGGAGACTGCTTGTTTGCTCCAAATATCTATTGAAATATGCATTAAAACTGAGATTCCATGAAAAGACCTGATATTTATGTTGTTAACACTAAATACATAAAACGTGCAGATCATAGCTAAATAGACCATAGCACCAATGATCATTGATCCTACCTTAATTGTAGGAAATCCTCTGATATTGTAAGGTCCACCAACTGACTGATGGACATCCATGTCAACAGCTCCAACTTTTACAATTCCCTAAAGGGGAACAATAATTTATACTGAGTGTTTTGCCATGCAAATATTTGTGTAATATTATTTTTTGTGTAGTCCTGATATCAATTTAATATAAATAAGAAAGAAACAATAAAGCTTATATAGCTCATATTCAACACATGTTATGTTATGTGCTAAATATCGAAAATACAAAATTCTATCCTATCATCAGTCATACGTCACCCAGAGTAACATGAGAAGCATGTGCTAGCTCAAATAGCCATTCTGTGCTTGCTTTCATAGCCAAAGCGCATAAATAACATTGGTCCATTCATTGTGATAAATCTCTCTTGTTCTATATTGGTATYACATGAGTATACCACTGTTTGAATATTTTACAGTTTCTTTTCCAGTTATATCCTCTACAGATCTTGATCGTCGACTTTGCAAAACTATGTCAAACCCCTCATCTAACCGAAATGAGGCCAACCTRGCACATCTTCAAACTGACCATCTAAGGCAACCGCCACTATCATCATAAATATGTTTTGTGAGCWGGGGAGCTGGTTGCAATAATTGATGTTGCATTCGAATAGGCATGAGTCAAAAAGACTGGAATCACTTTATCATGTTGTGAGCTGAGTAACCTTTGTTTGTAACAAATTAATTTTAAAGGTGTTATATTCATATCTCACTTCTTAAATTCTTACACAAACAAAATAAGAGTTGGTTTTATGACAGTTAGCTAACATWCAAAGACAGGATAGATTGTTGTTTATGACAGCCTAATTGCTGGAAAGAAATCAATGCTAATGAGCTGTTGTTATGGTGATAAAGGAAAAACTTATTATGTCAGATGAAATTATTTTAAAAATACAGTTACGTAAATGTGATACCACAGAAATCCATTAGTGGAATTGTAAYTGAATGTTTCTCTTTCCAAGAGGTTGATTTATGATTTCATTTACACATGGTTGCCACAGCATATGTCCTAAACATGCTATTACAGGTTTAGATGAGATTCAGATTACCTTTAAAGCTGTAGCTGCTTTAGACCATTCAGGGGCTAGTGCTTTACAATGCCCACACCTGAAAGAAATACCAGTTAAGTTCTTAAAAATGTTACATAGAGAAAAAAATGTTTGATTGAGACAAAGAAAATTTTTAACAATAAAAAAGGCCAAAAAAAGATTTAAATCTCGAAAAAGTATAATTTAACTCAAGCTATACTAACAAGCTTTCATAATTTTACTATTGAAAGTTTTTAAATGAAGCTACCTTCAAAACTTTGACAAATTTTAACTAACACGTGGAATTCTCCACTAACTTTTGAAATTTGTAACAACTGACTTACCAAGGTGCATAAAATTCTACCATCCACACTGAGTCATCGTTTAAAACTCTATTATTGAAGTTATTAGCAGTAAGTTCTACAACATCAGAACTTGGACCATACAAAGCATTGGCCACAGCCAACAAACATAAGGAATAAATACCTGAATATTCCAAAAACCAAATTCCCAATTAGTAATCTGAACAGCTTTACACACAAATTAAATACTGKAGAAATGAAGATTTCCTTACCGTAAATAAAATGCATTTCTCAACAACAACAAAATAAGGAACTACACGTCTAAAATGATTTGCTTGAACAAAAAAGAATYTTGTGAATGAATTATCGAACCAAGTGGCTCTCTCTGATTGGTCAAAAATAAWGTATTTTCATTCGTAATACCGCTGAACCTCAAGTTGTAACTTTTTCTCACTACAATTTTTTTTCTTCTTTGATGTTAGTCATACAGAAAATCGCATTCTTTCTAAACTATCGGAAATTAAAGTAATCAATTGTACTCTAAACTATCGGAAATTATGGTAATCAATTAGTAATCTTGATTGATTATCCTGAGATTTTGTCTCCCTGTATTTTTTATAGTTTTTTATTACTCTATTACTGGAAATGACTGTTTTGTTGTAATAAAATTACTGCTATATTGTATTAGTTTAAAATATTGTTTATTTCGTCATTTTACGAAAGTACAGATCATTGAGAGTAAAAGTCAAAGAAAATTTTTTTTTAATTCCTTTTATGAATATTTTAAGAGACAGAAGTGCATTGTGGGTGTTATCAACCAACCCTCGTGTTTTGTGCGTTTTAGCAGCATGTTTTCTAGTCGCTCGAAATGTCAACATTGAATTTCTTGTTATTCGAGGGATGTTATCCTACGTAGTCTCAATGAAACGAGGCTCAATGATTCTTCAAGCGAGAAATGAACTCGTTCCTTATATTTTCGTCGTAAAATAAAATTGCTTTCGCTTTGTTTTGGCAGTCATATTTTCTATCATGTCCAACCAAGGGTCAACGTCGAGAAAAATTGTATTTGAGGTTGGGACGAAAATTGAAGCCCAGGACTTCACTCAGAACTGGTAAGTCAAATAAATTTGAAGTCATAAATTGTTATAATTGGACAAATGAGTTTTCTTAAGCTTAAAGCGGAGAGTTTTGTCGAAKGTAGGGTTGAAACGTAGAGTGTATTCGAACGATAAAGGCGGCAACTTCAAAATAATATATGCAATCGATGCAATTGCGACTACTTATTTCAAGTTTTCAGAAACTTCGAGGATCAAGGTTTTCATTTTTGAATTGGTGTTTATAAGTGAGCAATGCCTAATGTGATCTACAAAGAGCTTTTTTGTTATTTTGTAATCCGCCTTGTGATCTGAACAGTGCTCATATTCCATGTAATTCGAGTTGCTTTATTTTGTACGAAATGACGATTGTTAAAAAATACAAAGAACTAGAAAACCTACCTAAGATTTCCTTTAAATAGTACATGGATCTTGATGGCAAATGATCTCAACTTTCAAAATGTGATGTTTTTTGACACAAATAATCGATGAGAAGAGTTATTCTGGTGTATTTCAATAATACAATATTTATTCTGTCGTCATTTKCTATAAATACATCAAACAGTAAAGCTTATTGAATGAAGTTGAGCAGAAGGTGAGGAATTTTGAATGTCTTGGTTTGTATTTTCTACTGATGCTATTGCTTTTAGCATATGACATAAAACCACAGCCTTAATATTTTCATATATCCTGGGAGAATTCCATATTAAAATATCTATTTTTTTTACAGTATTAGGATATGCTGGTTGAAATAGATCACATTTTTTACAAAATAGTATAAATCTTACAATGTGAAAAAGTGTGAGAAATAACATGCTGATDTTTTGGACATCAGACCATTGTCAGTTATTTGTTGCTATGAAATGTGTGATTTAAGATTTCTCTGTACGTAGGAGTCAATGTGTGATTGTTTTGATGAAGATGGCATATATTTGTGAATCCATTGATTTTGCTGCACAGTTTCTGAGAATATTAAGATTTCTAACATTTGATTATTGAAAACTTTATGGAAGACATRCAATATATATAGTTTATTTCATGGAATGTGCGACGTAGAGGATKTTATTCACRAGTTGTTTGTATCATACAGCGAACGAGCGAGGATTGAGTGAATAAAATATTTTTACATATGAGAAATGCTATGCACCCTTCTGATTGGACATATCGCTATTTTTCACATGTGAAAATATAGCATACAGATTTTTTTATGTCATTTACTCTATGAAAGTCTCTTTACAGTATATATATATATATAGCTATTTCAAAAAAGGTTGACAGATAAAATGGCCAATGTCAATGGTCGAATGGCGATTGCATGACYGAAAGTAGCCATGGGTTTTGCCTGTTGAAAGGCAATAACAATTGATTTGTACTGTAAGATGGTCTGTGGTAAACACTGGCTAYATTTAGTCTCCATTTCTATGTAGGTGAATCCAATAAGTGAAATTTTGTTTATCAAAACGGTGTAACCATAGTCCCTTTCGGTCRTGCAATCTCCCTTTGACAATTGCTGTTCGCCGTTTGCCGTTCGCCGTTCACTTGCCAATTTACTTTACATATCTCATCAATATAGTACCTTTAACTATGCCAATTTTTCAAGCCACAATGGGYATTTTCTCAATGGACCAAATTGTAATAACAAATAGATGAAGTTTCCAAGATGATAATAATAATTGAGATTCATGGTATGGTTAAAAGCACAATTCCCAAGTCAGTTTCATATTGTTACATGTAAGAGGTTTATTGTAAGAACACTCCTTTAAGTCATCTGGTAAATGAGCACTTGTGTATTATTAAATTTCTGTGACTATTAGGTATCCTGCCAAGATTTGCCGCGTTGATTCCCCCGAAAAAAAGGCACTAATCCACTTTGAGGGTTGGAATCACCGTTTTGATGAATGGATACCATTTGACAGTGAAAAGATAAGACCTAGCACCCGTTCTGTTGAACACAAAGAAGAAAAGATAGTCAGACTCTCTCAGGTAAGAGACTGCTATGCACCCTAAATACTTGATAGTGAATAATTCTCATTTATTGGTTGGGCTAGCCATAGGCTACTTTCTATCTTTGTATCTGGCAATGTCATGTATAGTGTATAGTAGCCTAAGCTGGTTGACCTTGTAAAGTAACAATGTGAATAGAAACTTATGCCAATTTGAATCAGTATAGGATTATCTTTWTATTTCAAAATAACCAGTCAAAGTAAAACAAAAATATGGCAAATTAAAAAAAGGTCTTTGACACTATTGCATTGGAATCTAATACAACACTAATTCAATGCTAAAACTACTTTTTACCATGCATATCATGAACTGTCTAGCAGTTATCTTGCATCGCAAGTGTCATCTCAATATTGTCATTTCGCTCTGTAAGTACATATAATTTTATGCCAGCTAGCCCAACTTCACACTACACTAACATCTACTTTCTTTTATAAAATAACCAYATTACCAAATCAAGATATCTAGTTATGAAAAAACTGAAACGTGGACCCAATCGCAAAAATGTTAATTCCTGAGATTTATTTTTAAACACATGCCAGAAAAGARGTTTAAGTGATTGTTTTGTATTTTAACCTTTATTTCTCAGTTTGAAATGTCTTTGCAATTAGCATTTCTAGTAATATACAGTCATGYTTCTTGGAACTTAATAAGCTTTATAAGGATATTTGACACTATTTGGGTTGGACTACTACTGTAGAGAGAATCACCTAGAAAGCATTTATACTTGTATCATTATTGCAGGCTCTTCAGGTTTTTAAGAGTTATAGACAGCAGTTGACCCATAATTGAAATGCATTAGTACTAATATGTTTAAAGACTATTATATACTATTGTATGGTGTCTGACAGTGTACCTAGCTTGGTACATGTATATTGTTCATGTAGTTGAAGTMCATTTTCACAATGTTAAGAGTACTTGTCTCTGTCGATTTTAATGGTATTTCTAACCCTTATTGTGATCCATCTGCCAAAAGTAGAAAGCATTAACACTGATATATTAAGACATTAGAAGGACGTCCATTTCATTCAGAAATTTGATTTGAAGGGCATTTTAAGGTTATTTGTCGAACTTACATATAACATTTAGGGTACACCCAACAGTCCTTTAGTCATGTGAAGTACACATGTAATTGTAATGTCTCAGAACATATATTTTGCCAAACAAAGCATAATTACACATATGTACATGTGATACTTGATATTGTGAAAATAATAGTCATTYACAATAACCAAGAGGTAGTATAACATAGAGAAAAACTAAAAYGAAACAACACCATATGAGTCAACATCACTAAAGAATAATAATGATTATATATGATAGTTGATTGATGTTATGTAATGTAAAAGAGTTAACAACAAAATAACATGGATATAGGTGATACATCTAAAATCAACATAGACTTCAAAATTGTACATGTACTTGTACATGCATTTGGAACAAGTTTCATTACACTTGATCCCAATTGAATATTACATAATGGCATTAATTTATTGATAAGTGAAGCTTAAGAATATTTTTCTAGAAACCTGTGGAATATCTGGTGATGTTTGTGCGTTGTAATAGCAGATTCATTTCCTGCTTTCAACTTTCATCCATCATGATACATTTAGAATGTTTGTAATTCAAATGAAATACTTAATAGATTTGCTTAATTCATATTGTATAGTAACTTGTACTTGTATTTTTATTGCATATTTCCTGTGATGTTCTACTATAGAAGGATGTTTGCGACTACAAGGTTAATGCTTAATTTTATTGGTTGAATGACTATGTATCCTGGTTTACTTGTTTTATGTTATACATCACCATATCTTACATCGATATACTTTACTAGTACATAACTGTACATTAATAAATGTCTTTGATATAGAAATGCCAATTGTAGATTTGTGGATAATTTGCTCAAAGATCTTGATATACTTTTTCCCTTTTTAGCCAAGTATTTCTTAATGTAGTAGATTACTGAATTATGAAATTTCTTTGGTTGAAAGGATTGTATTTTTCGATTTATTTTATGCTTGCATTACACTGTACGTTTGTTGTCATAGTAAACTTTTTTTTAGATTTATTTTTTAACTGTTGCCTTTATACTATTAAGTTTACGTGTAGTAGCTATGATGTCGTCTAACCATGTGTATTATATATAGATTTAAAACCTTTTTTTTTGCTTATTTTTACAGTCTTTGTTGTTGTAGTTTATTTACAATTCTCGATGTTCTTTGTACATAATATCAAACAAAAGAACAATTGTCTGATCAAAATTAAA